TCTGTGCCTCTCAGGGCTGAGCTGATATTCAATTTGGGGAGGTGAACCGTATATCACTACTCCCAGGGCTGGACAGGGAAATATTTCATTACACGGGAGAGGTGGATTTAGAATGACTCTCTGCCCTCAGATACTGTGTTTTATCTCAGGATATGTCACTGACATACTCTTTTGATTTCATCAAATCTCTTCCAAGCTTGCCTGCTTTCTCTCTTCCTTTCAAACACTTACACACATCACTGAGTAGAAATCATATGAAGCTATTTTGATTTTTCCTTTTCTTTTACATCCAGCAAATCTTCCTTTTGTTTCCTTTAGGCTTAGTATTTCCAAATTAATGATATGTGATTTGAATTCATTAGTTACCAACTTATGAAAGGGGATCCCACCCTATTAGTTTTTGTATGCCAGCACAGTGCCCCCACAGACTACACATCCACGCTTGGGGAATTCATTGGTAAAATATTTGTCGAGGAAGGCTCCATTGCTACTTCTTCCCTAGAACCCCTTGAAACCTGCAGGACAGAAGACCCCTCATTAATTCAGGACATAGCTTATTATCTTTTATTTTGACTTATGGTCTTGAGGTCATCTGTCAATATCTTGACAGCCTATATCAAAAACTGAACCCACTGTAGAAAACAAAAATATATGTGTCCAAGTATTGGTGTAGAGGAGACTACTGCATTTTTTTCATACTTTGTTCATAGAATTTTCCCTATTCTAATCACTATCAGAAAGCATCAAAGATATAAAATACAATTTTTTTATACAGAGGCACATTTATAGTTTCACATTTTGTTTCTAATTTAGGTTTTTCTGTATATAAACACTATATTATAAACTTTTCATAAAACTTAGTTGCTCAGGACTTAAAAGGGACTATTTGGAAAGAGGTTTTTTTTAAAATTATTTTTGAAGAAAATTCATAGTTGCTTAGTTTAAGAAATTACATACATAATTCCCCAAGAACTTTGATTTTCCTAAAGTAACTGTGAGTAGTTCTTATTCAGTCAACAAATCAATATATATTTATTGACCTGTTCTATTTATCAAGACTGTTAGGTGCTGACTATTCTAATTTATTTGACCTTGAATCATTCATTATTTGGGCAGCAGATACATAATAATGGTAACACATATTGTTTCATTTTTATTTACCTATAATTATCTTTTAGTTTTTCTCTTTGACCAATATTGTTTTTTCATATAAAGTTTCATCCTCTACAGGCTGTAGTTCCTCCCCATTTACTATTAATCTTATGTTTTCCCAACAGTGTATTTTTCCCTTTGAATTCCCCTTTCTTTTAATACTCCCCTGAATACTTAATTTGCGCTTATATTTGGTCCTTGATATTTTTCTTAATTTTTATGAAAATACTCTCTTCCCTAAAAGAGTGTTAAAGACAGAACTCATGGAGACAAATCTTTATTTCCCCATCACACAGTAATTTTGGCCTACCTCTTACTGCAAGATTTGCTATACCGAGCAGGATGTACCAGCAGGTACATGATTATACTTGACTCTTCCTGGACTGTGAAGTTTTAATGCTTGGCCTTTGCCCTATTTATTCCTAAGATTAATGTGATGCTTTCTTTTTAAATTTTAGAGAGGAAGTTCACCGCCGTATGACGATACCACTGCGGGCAGCCTGTGGGTCAACTTCGGATGCTCAGCATCACATTCCCCTAGGGTGCTCTCATTTCTCTGGAGAATTCCTTCCGCTGAGGAAAAGCCTACACCAGCTTTTTATTTTCTGATTAGAATTCTCTTTGGAAGTCACCATGCAGATGAATTGATATGTGAGACTGAATAATCATCTGAATAGCCTGATCAAAACATGTGATCTTGACCAGACATCATGGAAGTTTTGAAGCTGGAAGGGTCTCTAGGGCCTCTCCAGTTCAATGGCCTCAGAACTGCATCCAGTTCTCCAGCACTCTTTCCATTCTATCTCACTAGCTTATACTTTTTAAAAACCAATTAAACCTCTTTTTCCCTAAGAGGTTTTGTTTTAATTTTCCCCTAGAAAAGTTTGGATAAAGTGGCTTTTATGGTCTATTACAAGAGTCCTGCCATCCTCCCCTTCTGGTTCAGCGGGGCAGTTCTTATGCTCAAGAATCAACCTAAATCACATTCTTTTGTTAGTTTTCTTGTTTTACTCCTACTGTACAGAGTAAGAGCAAAGAGGTTCCTATAGAATGAGAACAGAACAAGCACAAGAGTATTGCCTGTAGCTACTGGGCTGCCCTCTACTGAGTCGTGTAAAAATAACTTCTTTCCAGGTAAATCTGTTTTCCCTCAACAAAACAGTGGGAACCACAAATAAGATGGTTTACTGGTATTTGCAACCCCCATATGGCCTTGGACATTGTGTTTAATACATTTCTGTTGAATTATTATTTTGGCCACTCATTAAGCTAAGTCATCATTAAGAACTTCGTGGTTTAAAGAAAAGCACAAATTCAAAAATAGCACAAGCTACCCAGTAATGGTGCTGTATTCATACCTTAAATTAGCTTTTTGTACATACAGATACCAGAAAAATACGCTTCCTTACTCTTTTCCTACCTTTATGCCTCTTTACACAAGTCTTTCGTAAAATGTAAGCTGCTTGCTAGGCTCATTCTTTATACCATTCATTACATATTCAAGTTCAATGTAACTGCATTTTTTGTGCTCAGCCCCATGGTATATGCACTGTGATGCTCAAGTCCTCTTTCCACTAAAGGAACTCTTGCCATTAACTGTACCTTCAGATTTGATGCAGAAATTTCTCTTATGACTATAATTGTTACTAACCCAAAGGATCAATGATCCATAAGCTTCATGCTTGCCCAGAAACAGTCAATACTTAAACATTTCAAGAAATTCAAAACTAAGCAAAAGTAATAAACTAGGGTGTTTAGAAACATGCTGTGAACCAGTATTTTAGAAATCATTCACTGTGGAAAATTTAAATTGGTTTAATTACAAAAATTTAAAAGGTCAAAAATCTTCACTGAATTATAGAATTCCCAATCAAATGACAGAAGATGTATCTTATGCTAAAACTTGGTTTGCATTTTTAGGTGATCCTTTGATCGTTTATTCATCAACCCTGGATATGAACAAAACACAATTTCCTTAGTCACTAAAACTATTTTTAATTGCTTTGAACAAAGGTTTAACAATGGAAGATAGTTCACCACTCTAAGCATTTGATTTTCTCTGATAGGTGAAAGGAATAGATTCTAAACACTGGGAAATCTCACGGTGGGCTGGTAATGCCAGGCGCCACAGCAATCAGGCAGGTTCAGTAAGAAGGCAACCTGACCGTGCCCAGTCTTCCCTTTTAGCTACAAAACCTTGAAGAAGTTAGAATTAACAGAGTTGTAATGCTACTCTTTTATTTTGCAAATGAGAAGGCACGGGCCACAAAAGTTGTAAGGCTTCCAACAGCCAAGAAATAGAGTCCAGGGCTTCTAAAAGCAGCTGGAATTCCTTCACTGCGCTGGTGGAATGGATGGTTACAACTCCAAGAGTTCATACCCCTAAGGGAAAGGAATTAAGTTAAATTAGTTAATTCATTCGACCAGCATGCATCCACTGCATACCCATTAAATACAGCTCAGGGATACTGTCTTGTTGCTTTACAAGTCCCACTGCAGGAAAAGTGGTCCATTCTAGTGGTAAATAAGGATGTTCACTGCACAAAGGGCAGATACTGAGTTAAACGTTAATAACACACCAGCAAACATACAAATTAAAAATAAAACTACAGAAACATCAATCAGGCTCTGTTTCAAAGAAACAAGAATAAGGCAAGCAAGCCGTTTTAGTAGCATATCTTCAATGAACCAAAGGTCACTACACAAGATGTGTTATGCCTAAACTACTACTAGCATGGATCAGACCTACTGAACATGCAGAAAATATGATTAGCATCTCAGTTTGAAATATACATATAAGTCTAATGTAGTAATAAAGTAGGTTTAACCACCTACTGCTTTTTTTAAAAATGGGTTTTCTTTGTTAATTCATGGAAACTGCCTGAATCGATTTCCAATTAAGGGTTAGGCTAATTCTATTTGCCCTGTTGGGTCAATTTGTTGCTTTCATCTGTTGAGGAACTCATTTTTAAATCTTTTAAATTTGAAGATTTAATCTTTTAAAATTTCAATGGACTGTTTTCTTTAATGATAACAAATGTATCCTCGTCTTGGTCTTTGCGAAGCCATTTACAAGCTGCCAGCTTAGACTTGGATATGAAATCCGCGGCCTGCAAGACCTGCGATGTCCCCAATAGTGCCCAGGGCCCCTGCGCTCTTCAGGAAGTCTCTGCCTCCCTCTACCTGCTACCCATTTCACCCATGGCCCAGATTCCTGTGGCACCTTGCTGCCTTATTAGAATCTATAAAATCTGCCTGTAAAGAAAAAGAAAGTCTAATACTTTCTAGTCAGTTTGTGACAACCTACTAATTTATTGATTCGTCTTTCGGGTGTTTCTAGAATACCTTGGAAGGAATGAGGATGGGGCAGAGGCGAGGAGGAACAGAGAAGGTAATTATTTCTCAAGCAGGTGTGGACGCCACAGGAGCCAATGAGGGACCCGGGCCAGAGAAAGGGACCCCGGGGGGAGGGGGAGAGGGAGGGACCCGGGACAGAGGGGGATCCTGGACGAAGAGGGGGACCCCGGGCAGAGGGGGGTGGGACCCAGGGCAGAAGAGGGACCCCTGGCGGAGGGGGGCCTCCGGGTGGAGGGAGGGGACCCCAGGCGGAGGGGAAGGGACCCCGGGCGGAGAGAAGACCCCGGGCGGAGGGGCCCCGGGGCGCGGGCGGCGAGTCGCCCGCGGAGACACGGCCGTGCAGTGGGCAGTGCGGGCGGCGCTCGGCGGGAGCGCACCCGCGGGGCGGGGGCGGAGCCGCGGGGCTGCCGGGCGGGCGGGGGCGCGGCGGCGGCGGCGGCGGCGGCGGGAGCGGCGGGAGCCCGGCCGACGCCGCAGTCCAGCCCCGCGGACGCCCGGGGCCCGGAGCAGGCCCGCTCGCCGCTGCTCCCCGCGCGCCCGCTCGCCGCTGCCCCCGCTGTGGCGGGGCGGGGCCACCGAGAGTTTGCCGCGGAGCCGGGGAAGTTTCCCGCGGGCTGCGCACGCCTCCCGGAAAGGCTGCACCTGCCGCCCGCGCCTCCACCGCCCCGGCCGCTCGCCAGGTAACCGCGCGGGGCAGGCCCCGAGGGGCCGCGTCTGGGGGGCGCCGCCGAGCGCCCAGGCTGGGAGGGGGCTGGGAGGGGGCTGGGAGGGCCTCGGGGGGCGGGCAGGTGCAGCCCGCTCTTCCGGGCGCTTCACCTCCGTGGAAAGCGGAGGCCCCTTTCCTTTCCTTGCTGGCGCGTCTCTCCCGCAGTATTCGAACCCTCTTCGCTCACTTCATCGGACGTGCTCGGGGCGGGTGGGGCGCCGTGCGGGAGCTGCAGGGGAGGGTCGGGAGGCGCCGGGACCTGTCAGCGCCTGTGCTGGGGGTCCTGGGCCCCGGCGGGCCCCGTGGCTCCCGACTCCAGGGCCAGCCCCCCCTTGGTGCGGGCAGAGGTTGGAAAGAGGACCCCAGAGGGAACGGTCTGGAGTTTCTGACGTCGGTTCCTCCGCTCCCCCGGCATGTGTGGCGGACAGATGAGCATCTCTGCTGCGGTGCGGCTTTTGCATGGGTCCCAAACTCCACGATCTTGCTGAGTCCTGCTCGGGCTGCGGGCAGTAGGGCAGGGAAGTTAGAAGAGTCAGAGCCCAGGCTTGGTGGGGCGGCAGCGGAGGGGTCCGGAGAGGCGCTGTGCGGAGACCGCTGGCGGTGGGCTGTGGGGGCGGGGGGTGGGTGGCGGCAGGACGGGCGCGGGGGTTCATGCAGCTGATGTCACTTTCACGCGGTTGCCCCGCGCCCTTCTGCCCCATGTGAACATCCTGCCTGCCGGCATGTTTCTGTTGCAAGGCTAAAAGGTGCTATGTTTGATGCCTGTCAGGAGTTATTTCCAACTAAGTTCACAGGCGCGAGGTTGGAGCAGCTTGCTCCTCTCCCCGCCCCTGCAGGTCCACCCGCAACTCCTTCTCACAAGCAAACTGTTCCTGAACAGTCGCAGGGTTTTGCAAGGGATGGCAAGTAAACAATATAGTGTGATTTTTTTCCCCATTATGTTACCAGGACCAATTAAGAGTATTTACAGGGCTTTATTTTTGTTTGACCCCCAAACATTGCAGTAATCCATACATATAATTTTATCTGTACTGTCACTATTCCATAGGGAAAGGATATAGGCTTCTTTAGGCTTACATACACACACCGGAAGACAGTGTGACCATATTTAATATTAATCTGCCTTCTTGATTCAGTGGCCCCACACCTGCCAATTGCAGTACATAATCATAGAAACATAGCCTGGCTACCAAGTGAGGAGAAAGAGGATATTACTGTTTTCCATGGGCAACAGTACCCTGAACTACCAGATGTTATTATTGCTCTAAGGGTTTTTAAGGACTTCAAAGTGAATCAAACATACAGAACAAAATTAAAATTCTACCTGATGCCTTCAAAAAGAATACAATACCTGGGCACTTACAGTTGACTACTTATTGAGGAAAAATTAGAATCCTCTCATCACACCAAAAACATTTTGATTGAATATAGTCAGTAAGGAAGAGCACACACTGAATGCCTTAAGAAAACAAGAAGAATGTTCCTGGTGTCTCATTTGGCTTTTATCTCCTTTATTACAGAAGCATCCTGCAGCAAATGAGCACCTTGCAGATAGATGTTGGAAACCACTGACAAAACACCATATTTTTTAATACAGAGGCTTGGTGACAGTCCAAAAACATAAATGTTTTAAATCATTATCAACCATCTGTTCTCTCCCACTCACTTAAAACACAGTGTTTTATTTCCACAGGTATCAAAACATACATCCTCATTTCAGAGGTTTCCATGAATATCGCCAAAGCTGCAATGCTATTTGACATTGACTCAAGTTTGGCCACTCTTTTGTTTGGCTTATGACGCGAGGAACTCCTCTCCTATTTTCAATGAAAGAAAAAATAAAAAAGTTTTAAAGCCTTTGGCCAAGGCTGGTGTATATGCCAGTGAAATCTGATTGTTGTTGGTTTTTTTCCCGCCTTTTTGTTACCAGAGAGAAGCTGAAAATTAGTACAGCTGCAGGCTCCTCCTGATGACATTCTTTTCCTTTCTTCCTGGTCACAAGGGTGGTGCTTTGAAGCCATATGTTAAATGGCCCCATGACTCTAGAAAATTAGTGTGGCTTCCAAAAGAATGTAACCTCTTCCCAGGAAGAATTTACAAAATGGGAGACTAACTTAACATTCCAAACCCCAAATTAAGTAGACCTAAGACATACAGATTGTTTCCCACACAAACATTGGGTCTGAATAATACAGTAGGATATTATATAGGTTGTGAATAAAATGTCTATATATTACTCGTTAGATTTGTGTTTGGGAATCTGGGTGAGTTTGTATATAATCAGCAGATAAAATCATACCCTTTATTTTGTTTGTGTCATTGTTAGAACAGATCTGAGGTTTTGAGACACCCACCCCATCCAAGAATGCTTTCCTATTTAGGGATGTTTGCTAGAGCTAGAACTGCAATTTTAAGGTATTTTATCATTCAAACTAAGTTGTATAATAAAGTGTTGTTCCTTCAGTATGGCCTGAACATGGGGAAATTCTTTTTACTCAAATCTGGGTGTAATGTCCCAAAGCACTTTCATATATTTTAGGAAAAAGTTATCGGCAGTCTTGCCCACACCTTGCAAATTCCATGTACATGAAGAATATCAAGAACCAAAGGAAGGTGGGTTTGCTGCCTTCGTAGCTGTTACACTCCTCTGTCTTGCCCTTGCCTTAAAAACGTAAGATTCTCCTTACTTATTTCCTGATTAGCATTGAAGGGAATGAACCCAAACTATAGATAATTTAGAATTAAAGTTGCCTTTAAAATATGGCCTAATTTAAACCTTTGGAAATTCATAAGGAAGTGTTACGTCTTACTTTTCAGTACTAGAAATGAATTATTGAGGGGAAGCAATTTCACCATGTATAGTAAGCACTCTGAATTATTCATGCTAATGAGAGGAATAGAGACAATCCAAAATCATGGTTATTTAAAAAGTCATTTGTAATTGTCTTTGGAATGTATTACATAGTTGGTTTAAAAAAAGATTTTTATTGTTACTGTAGGCAAGTTGCCTTTCTAATTATTTTGGTGTGTTTAGGTTAATTTTTCAATGGGTTTGCCTACCTCAAATACCAAAGCCGATTTATGGGGAGGTGAGGCAGATGGGGGACCAACCAGAAAGAGGTGGGTGACAGAAATAAGCAAATCTGCTGCGACAACTTTGCAGTAGATCATGTATAATTTCCATAAAGATAATCAAGACTTGATTGTATACCTATTTCATGAATATGTGTTAAGAATCAGACATGTTCCTGGAAAAAAAATAGAGATACCTCCGTCAAAAGTTGAGCAATTCAACCCCACTTTACATGTAAGAGATGTGATGTATATTAAAAAATAAAAACAAAAACAATAGTGGGGGTGCTCCTGAAAATTAAATAGGAATAATCTAAATTAAAAGTCTTAATAAAATGAATTTATAAGCCTGAGGTTTTCGTAAAGCCTGCACATGTGTATGTGTTAAGGTGATACTCCTAAAGCCTCATGCATGCACCTTACAAAACAAGAAACAGCAAGACGCCATCAGAATAAGGTTTGGTCCAGTTTGATCTCTCAGCCTATGCTCCAAATCAAAGCATGTTTCATCAAAGAGAAGCTCTCAAGTTACCATGGACCTGGTTAGATAAGATAGGTAACGTTCAGCATTACTGCCAGTCTAACAGATTTCTATTGTGTTTTTCAAAAGCTCTAGGGCTAAATTGGTTGTGGATGAAAGAGTTTCTTGAACAAGAAGTTGATTCACACCCCAGCACTTGCTGTTAAATACCTTGTTTATCAGCAGTGTTCAAGTTGTATATAGAGTTTGTTGAATTGTTAGCTCTGTGGTCCATTAGGGTCTAGAAAACCTCTGTGGAAAAGGTCAGAGCTGCTAAAAATATATGATAAGAAAAGTAGATAAGATCATTTGTATTTCAAGAATTCAAAACAGAAACTGTAACTTTTAAAGCAGTACTCAGAAAGGTAATTGAAAAGTAGATGTCCCCTTCAGAAGGTGACTATGTTCTCGTAATAAATGTACTCATTAATTTCAGTGGAGGAGTACTTCTTTTTTGAGGAAACATTTTTATTTTTTATAGGACATGGCCTATTTGAGTCTCTCGACTGAGTGTTTTAAAAGAAATTATGTGGTTAAAAATGTAATTGAGAACCACGGGATGTATTTTTCTACATTTAGTAAAGGAATCAGTTTCTTCAGAGCGATGCGTAGGTATTAGAATCAAAATTATGCATTTTGTTATAGAGCTGGAAAAGACCTTAAGAATAATTTATTCAATGCCCTCATTTTACAGTTAAGGAAATGGGGCCCACAGTGATCACCAGGAGTTGGTAAAGGTCACACTGCTGGTTGGAAGCAGAGCAGAAACTAGAAACCTCATCTCCTTACTCCTGATTCAGCTCCCTAGTAGTAAATTGGGTGGTTAGATAGGGGAGTTAACTCTTTCCGGCCATCACTATATCAGCTGTAAACAACAGTCACGAAATGCAATGGTGCAGAGGTAAATGCAGGAGGCTTGTGATTTTTCTGTCTTCTGTCATTGACTGAATACTGACTGTGGACCAAACCACAGTCCTCAACCTTCTTAGACTCTGTCCTCTTCTTTAATAACAAATGTTTTGTGTCACACCCTTAGTATCCTGAAGTGTAATTCATCAATAATACACTTACTGAATATATCTCTAGTGAAAAGGAGCAGCAACAAAAAAAAGTAACTTGTAATAAAACATGCATTTCACTATACCAGTGTTTGGGGAAGGCTTTACTGGAGCACGTAGTAAAGAAGTCAGGAGCTCACGTGTATACGTGATGAATAAATTTGGATCGAAGACAAATAACATCAAAAGACATTCCATACGAGAAGTACAGGAAAATGAAATAATGAGGAGAGGCTAAAAGTAGTTTTAAGATCATTACAACCCAGCTTTATTTGTATATGATAACAGAAAGAAGGAAATGATGGTTATCATCATAGGGAAAAA